TTTTGTCACCTTCATGGGAAGAATTTACTTCTCAGGTATCTGAGGTTCAGCCCTTCTCCACTGGACACACACACACACACACACAGAGAGAGAGAGAGAGAGAGAGAGAGAGAGACAAAAGGAAGCATAAACAAATCAGGAAATAAACAGCTTCTACCTGGGAACCAAAGCTTACTTTGACTTCTCCCCCCTGGAACCACTGTCACTAAATCTCTTGCCTCTCAGATTCTGGACCTACCTGCTTTGATCTATAAGGTTGTATCCAATACTTTCCACCCCCAGAGACACTTCTGAAAATCACCCTAGCATTTTTCTACTGTCTCATGGTTCTAACTATCTGCCTTAGCTTAGAACTGATATCATGCCTACCTTGCCTAAAGTACCTGCCAGACCCTTCCTGCTCCAAGAGTCCCTTGTTCCAGATACCTCCTCTGGGGCCCTCCTAGGCCCACAGCAGTTAATATCACCAGGCTCAGAGCAATAGTAATTTTCTTTTAAATCCATGAACCCACCCCTCAAGCAAGGATCTGGAAATTAATATAGTCTGCTCCCAGCCAACGTTAACCCAGTGTTCAGCAGAAGGGAGCCAACACCATGTTAGGCACTTTAGAGGGACACTAGAAATAGAGCAGAGTAGCGATTGTCCCTGTCCCTTTATACAAAGCCACAGGAACTTACAGTTCTGGTGAACTTATCTTTAAAAATAGATTCTAACAGGGGCGCCTGGGTGGCGCAGTCGGTTAAGCGTCCGGCTTCAGCCAGGTCACGATCTCGCGGTCTGTGAGTTTGAGCCCCGCGTCAGGCTCTGGGCTGATGGCTCGGAGCCTGGAGCCTGTTTCAGATTCTGTGTCTCCCTCTCTTTCTGCCCCTCCCCCGTTCATGCTCTGTCTCTCTCTGTCCCAAAAATAAATAAAAACGTTGAAGAAAGAAAAGAAAAAAAAAATAGATTCTAACATTAAAGTCTTAATAAGGACACAGGATCAGGGAGGGACTCCTGTAGGAACAATCTGAAAAGGCTAGAAATCTTCAGTGCAAAAAGCTGGCAAGGCCTTATCACCACCAAAGCATCTTTGGACAGAGAAAGAACCCCCAATTTTTCAGTTCCTTCTCTAAGGCTGACTTACTCAGAAAAGTCTGGAGAAGGATGTTCTTTCTCCATTTGAACAATGAAGTAGATAGGACTGAGTTCACAAATCTCACTGATTCTCCTGGGAAAGTTTTTACAAAATGCAAGTATTGTCCTCCCCCAACCATCGCCCAACCTAGTATCTACTAATCTGAATACCCAGAGTTCTGAAATTCATACTTTTAAAGGTCCTCAGGTGGTTTGGAAACCACTGAATTCAGCGATCTCCAAGGCCCCATCTTGCTGTGATATTCTATGATGTCAGATTCCAGAAAGAATGAGCAAAGGGAACCAACAGGTGAGGCTTGAGCAAGACAAGCCCACACACATAATAAGCAGGAAAGCCCTTGGACAATGGACAATGAAGTTAGAAACCCCATACCCCTAAGAGATATAGCTGGTGGGAAACATAAATTGATTCCAAGGAACTCTGGGCAGATTTATGAGGGTCAAGGCCATCAGAGGGAGCAGGGAAGACCATCATGCCTGGAAGGCCGCTGAAAGCAAGCAAATTCTAGCTGGATAAATCATGGGTCTGACCTGGGATGGCAAATCCTGTTCCCATGGAATCTACTCTGGAAAGAATTTTCTCTCTGGACCTCTCCATCAGAAATTGCTGAAAATAAAAACAAAATTTTGTATACAGAAACCACCTGAGACTAACATATGTCCACTGAGTTGGGAAAATACTGATCCCTTTATTGAGAAGCAGCCCTAATGGCCCTCCTTTATGGAATGGGAACATAAATCTTGAGATTGGGTGTCTCTGCTTCTCACAGTCAGAAATTGAATAGGAATTTACACAATTTTAAACTGTGTTCATTATGTATCTCCAATGCCAGATGTTATTCTAAGCATTTTGCTTAGGCCCTCACTTAATATTCACACTAAGTCTAATCTCCATGTGTTCAGATGAAGAAACTGAGGCTCAGAGAGGTATATGATTTACCCTGGGTATCATAGCTGGTGAGGGGCAAAATCCAGGATAGGAAAAGTTGGCCCATCTGGACCCAAAGCCCTTGCTTCTCTCCCTACCTCACCAAATGCCCCATCTGGTCAGGAAGTAGAAGCCCAGCATCTCTGGGAATGTCTCAGAACATTTAGAACAGAGTTAACCCGGATGGAAGTTAGAAGTGGGTCCCATTGAAGGGGAAATGCTCAGGTATGGTGCCAAGCCCATACCTTTAGCTCTCTTCCTCAGCACACCCTTAAGAACAGAAGAAAGTGGGGTGCCTGGGTGCCTCAGTCATTTAAGTGTCTGACTCTTGATTTAGGCTCAGGTCATGATCTCAAGATTGGTGAGATCAAGCCCAGAGGCAGTCTTCATTCTGACAGCACAGAGCCTACTTGGAATTCTCTCTCCCTCTCTTTCTGCCCCTCCCCTGCCTGTGTGCTCTGTCTCTCTCTCAAAATAAATAAATAAACTGGGGGGAAAAAAAACAGAAGAAAGAAAACACACACACACACACACACACACACACACACACACACACACACTTCATTTCCAGGACTGAATTAACTGCATGAACTGTCATGCTTCTGCTCCAGATTGAGAAGGCTGCCCCCAAATCTAGGCTGCTTGCCTCAGACACAGACTGGATTTGAGAACAGGCTTCAAGGAGCTGGAGATCACAGGACAAGTGGGTTTTGTGATTCCCCTTCCAGGATTGTCTTTTCTCTCCCTGTTCACATTCTCATCCTTAGCTCCCTTAGCTCACTGGGTTTAAATCCCTAGGTGCTGCTGGTGGAGGATTCATCCATATTCACGGAAACTCCCCTGGCCACATTTCCCATTGTCAGGAACAGCACCTGCCTTAGGCATAGGCAGGAGTCATTAACACAATTCATATTTTTAGAGTTTGGCACTTTACAAAGACCTTTAATATCCCTTGCTCCCTTTAATCCTCGTGCCCATCCAGCCCCTTTTACAGACTAAGGAGCCCTGTCAAGGTCCCACAACCAATAATTTATAAGGGAGCCCCAAAACCCATGTCCTTATCCATTTCACCCCTTGGACACAGCCCACACTTAGGATTTGGGTGCTGAAGAGAGTAAAAGGGCAATTGACCAGGAGAGCTCTGTTAAATGCCCTCAGTAAAGAGTTAGCTCTTTGAATTAATAGGTTACTCCTTTAGATTATAAAAAAGATAAGAAAATTAACAATTAACCATTCACACAAACATGAATGGATTCATCACGTTCTTGCCCTTGAAACCAAATCGGCCTTCAAAAACCAAATAGATATCAACACCTTCATTTGAAAAAAGTAAAGTGGAGAAAGTGTTGAATACCCAGTGTTGAGTAGCTGTATGCTTTGGAACCTCAACTAGAACTTCCATTTCCTGACCTTGGGGCCAGGGCAGTGTCACAAAAGCCCACCACACTGGCCCAGTTTTCAGATTACCAAAACTCCCCAGTGCAATCTCAATCTGATTGCTTGTAATTAGCAACCCAAACTAAGCTTTCATTTCTGTATCGTTAAATCAGTTGAAAATCTTCAAAAAAATTTTCATTTTAACATTTTAGTGAGCAAAAGTATGTATACCAAATTAATTTTTCAATAATTCTCTATAGGTAGAATTTGACTTAATCACTTTAGAAGGAAATAATTTCTTCAGTCTTATAATGACATTTTTATATTTTAAGTAAAAGTAATTTACCAAGAACACATTTTTAAGAAGTTTTTATAGGTTGTACAAATGTTAGAATTCTAGCCAACATGAAATCTTACAATTCCTCAGGATCCAGCCTGGCTCAAAGATAGAAAGTTTCAAAGGAGGGGTGGGGTGTGCTAAGTGATCCTGAGCCACCCCTAGAAGGCCACCTAAGGACACTGGGTACTCTGGAGACACAGCACCCGGAAGTGGTGGTGAGGGGCTCTGAAAAGGAGAGCATGCACTGGAGAGAAATGTGATCTGTTTCCCATTTTTTATACTTTCTGTTACATAGAGAGCCTGGAAGCCGCTTTCACTGTGTTTACAAACCTAACTTGGTTATAAATAAGGAGGCTGAGCCTCACTGGGGGCCTGACAGATGGACAAAGCCACTGTCCTGGGTGCTTGGCCAATGGGGAACAGAGGGCTATGGAGCTGATTCTACCTCCAGTTTATTCTTTTGAGCTTCTCCAAGCTAAGGGGATTCTACATGCATGTGTCCAACCTTTGGGAGCAGGTTAGATGAAGTTACAATAGCATAGATTGAGCACCTGTGATTTGCCCAGCGCTGTGCCCAACTTGGTGAGAAATTGGGAAGGGCCCAGCCACTGCCCATGCCTGACTCACCTCAAAAGAGTCTTCTCTCCCTCCTCAGAACTCCCACAGTGCAGTTAGCCGAACTCTCAGAGGGCTTTTTTTTTTCTTACTGTCCTGTGTTGTAGATAGTTGCATCCCTTTTAGTGTCCCTTAGTAGGCTATAAGCTTCTTTTTTTTCAAGTTTATTTGTTTTGAGAGAGAGAGAGAGAAGGCAAGTGAGGGAAGAGCAGAGAGAGAGGGAGAGAGAGAATCCCAGCACAGAGTCCGTTGTGGGGCTCCATCCCACGAACCGTGAGACCATGACCTGAGCCAAGATCAAGAGTTGGACACTTAATCAACTGAGCCACCCAGACGCCCCTAGACTGTAAGCTTCTTAAGCCCAGATCAGTCAGCTCTGTCTGTGTCTCTCCCCTTATATCTGACCCGGGGCCTGGCACATAGTAGATCCTCAAGAGAAGTTTCCAGTTTGAATGGCTGATCGGTGTTTCTTGCCTTGACCTTGGTGCCATCTTGGAACATGGGTTTGGGGCAATGGAGCGGACAGCTCAGAGGCAGCCCAGGGAAGCCCAAGGAGGAGGGAGGGCCAGGCCAAGTGAGTGATTCCCTTTCCTCTTGTGCTGCAGTTCACTGGCTGTTCACCACGTGCGGGGCCAGTGGGCCCCATGGCCCCACACAGGCCCAGTGTAACAACGCCTACCGGAATTCCAACCTGAGCGTGGTAGTGGGAAGCGAGGGGCCCCTGAAGGGCATCCAGACCTGGAAGGTGCCAGTCACCGACACCTACAGGTATGTATGGCAGAGGGGGTGGGGGAAGCCAAGGGGCAGATCTACCCTCCTGAAAATGATGGGGGTCCTGCCTGTGGTTGCATGCTTGTGGGGTGCCTGAGCACACAAGGCTCAGAGGCCACAGACTCTGGCCCATAGAGGGATATAAGGACTAGAGATGGGGAGATGGGGGATAATGGGATATGGCAACAAAGATGTTTTCTCTGTCTTCAAGGAGCCCACAGACTATTTGTGGAGATGATATACATGCATGAGCTAGCTTCAGAACATTCCTTATCTTTATTACTAATAATTGAAATTATAGTGGATTCTTTGAATATTACTGGATGCCATTCACATGAGGCAGTGCATGTAAAATGTCTGGGAAACAAACATACCATGTCATGAAAGATGATGCTCTTATCCTTAAACCTCCTTTCCTGGGCCTTCACGGTTTGCAAGTAAAACAGTGGTCCTCAAACTCTTGTCCCACACCCACCCCAACTGCATGGTATTCCACTAGAGCGAGGCCAGGCTGGAGGGAGACCTGACTCCAGTGGGCCACTTGGCTAATAGGTGAAGCTGACAGCCAGCAAGGCTCAGACCAGTAGTTCTCAACCATCGAAATGGCTGAATGACTGGCTGATGCAGGTTACTAGCCCCACATGGAGAAGGTCTGATTTTGTAGGTCTAAAGTGGGGTCCAAAAATACAAATTTTAAGGAAAATTTTGTGCTAAACATTTTTATATTAATGAAGCAAATGTGACAAGATGTTGACACTTATTGAATCCAGGTTGGGAAGGGAGACATAAACGGTATTCATCGTACTCATTGTGTTCATTCATTCATCCATTGAGAATATGAGTTTCTAACACGTTCCCAGGTAATGCTGATACGGCCCCTGGGAATGACTGAGTTAGGTTAAACCCTTGAGTGTAGTCCTCACTCAGCTCTGTGGACAAGGCCAGTGCTGCAGTCTTCATTTTACAAATGAGGAAACCGAGGCTCAGAATGTCAGGAGCATCCCCACAGACACACAGTCTGGATATCACCTCCAACCCCAGCCTTCTGAGGCACAGACTTACTGAGGCTCCTTCCACAGCAAACGGCAGGCTTAAACAGGAAGCATCATGATAATGACATTGTTGGTGCAAATGCCCCAGACGCCAAACACAGTGGGAAGTGAGGTCTCTTTCCACTTCCTCAGCACCCCCCCCAACCCCCAAGCACCACCCCCCAGCACATCCTCAGCCCCCTGGGAAGGAAAGAGGCTTCTCAAGTTGCCCTGTTTTCTGTGCGGCCCCACCCCTGGGATCTCAGTGTAAATGCATTTCAGGGAGAGCCCTAAGTGCTTTTTAAATGACATTCTGGGCAGGAATGCAATAACAAGGTTTGGCTGCAATCAGATTAGCTGTTCTAGGTCCTACACATCCCCAGTAAATGGTCAGAGACACTCAACCACCCCTGGACCGGCCACGCTGAGCAGGCCAGGCCTCTCCTTCCTGCCCGGCTGAGGTTTCATGGGTCACCCCCTGTCCCAGAGAGACAGAGATCAATGCTTGCTGAGGACCTACCAGGTATTCCTCCTTTTAGCGGTGCGGCAGATGTCATTATTATTAGTGATATTCCCTTGTTTCCATAAAAGGAAACTGGAGTCAGCCACTTTGCAACAGATCTCAGGCCACATAATCAGTGACGGAACTGGAATTTAAACCCAAGGCCCTCGGGCTCAAAGTCGGTGTGTTCTTTCCACTAAAAGTCACACAGGGACTCTGAGAGGCATGCAGGGGGACAGAGAAAACAAGAAAGGGAAGTAGGCATGGCAGTCATGCACCACCCACCTCCAGGAAGCCTCTGGAAATGAAAGCCTGGGAGGGGAGCCCTCCTCCCTCCCCCCACCCTGCCTGAAGGGGTGTTGGCCAGCCCAGCCCTCGGTGCAGCTCTCCCTGTATAAAAAGCAATGTGAAGAGGAAAGCACAGGAGCTGTAAGGCAGAGACCTCAACGGTAAACCCCCACTGAGACCCACTGTCCCATCACTGTCCAGGGCAGCTCCCAAACCAGACTGGCTGCAAGTCCCTTACTGCCCCTCCCACAAAGATCCACAAATAGGAGGCGCCATGTAAGTAAGGTGTTACTCTTGGGCTGCATTTCCCCCTGAGACACTGTGAATCAGACCCACCTCCAAATGTGGGCAAGTTATTTAACCTCTTGAGACTCTGTTTCCCTATCTGTAAAAGGCAGGGGCTGGAGTTTGCTAACACTTGCCCAGCTGGTTGCACAGATTATGTACAAGTGCCTCACACGATGCCTGCTCATGCTAGGTGCTCCCTGGCCTGTGGGCAGAGAAACCGGCTGGAGCAGTGATAATGTCAGGCAGCAGGCAGTGGCATGAAAGTATTTCCGGTAACAGATTGGTCCCACAGAGAGTACTTCCTAACTTCTCTGTTTCCAAAGACTTTTTTCTGACTTCTTCAGATGGGCCCCATGTTTTGAAAGATTTTGCCTGGAAGACAAACTATACTTATTTTTTCCCTTTTTCTTTTTCTTTTCTTTCTTTCTTTCTTTTTTTTTTTTTTTTTTTTTTTTTTTTTTTTTTTTTTAATAAATCACAACCACATCTAAGTCTAGCCAGGTTTCTGATCTGCATGAATTTCCACAGTATTGCCACAGTGCACTGGATATAATCCCAACCCAAATCCGGCAACTCTTCCCATTTCTCTCTGGAATATTGAGACTAGCCCGCAGCCCCCAGCGTTGCCTGGGGAACACTCACTGGAAACGTGTACAAGGAGCCATCTTGCTGTTCAAGCCAGACACGTCAAAGTGTCCAAATTGGCAAAGGGGACATTCTGATCTGTAGGACTTTTTAAGACTGGCCTGAGATAGCACCACATCAAAAAGGGAAAAATCAAAACCCGGAAAACTTCAGGGTTTTGTTGTTGTTGTTGTTGAATCCTTGGGGGGTTTTTAATCCTTTAAAGGCTATAATAGATATTTCTCACCTTGACCCTGGATGAGGCTCAGGGCTTGGACGGTAATGTATATTGATCATATAACTGAGTATCAAAGGAACAGACCATTTAATGATTTGCTTTTTAGCCCACATCAAAATGTCCCCACATCAGAATATCTATGTGGAAAATTCAGGTACCCTCTTTCTGGAGGACATTTTCTCCATGTTAACTAATTCTTGTTTAGTAAGTACAGTTCCTCTAGTGAGAAAAACACATCAAGAGAGATGAGAAAAAGGTGAGAAAGTGTGAGAGCATTTCTTATGATCTTCCCCTATTCCTGGAAGAGTGTGAGCACTCAGCGAGTGCTATCTGGCTGCTGCCTGAGACCCGCCACTATTATCGTTCCAGCTGCTTCTTTACTACTGATCAGAGAGGTGAAGGAAAGAGAGCTAAATGCACCTACTGTTATGCCAAGGTGGGGCCATCATTGCCTGGGGCTTCCTCAGGGATGCACACAGGTAAACGTGTCCCCTACTCTTAACCGGTCAGTTATCCTGGGCCCATCTCCCACCCTCTACTCCTTTGCCCACCACCACGGAAAGGGAGAGGAAGAAGAGGCTGGGGAGAAGAAAAGAGCCGGCTTGGTGGGGAGGGGCTTTCGGGGACAACCCCTAAATCCTCATCTCCCCCACCCCGCTGCTTTCCTGCCTTGGGCTTCCCCTTCCTCTGGATTTGCCATTTCCTCTGTCAAAACAGAGATGGTCTCACTCCCCCCAAGGACATATGTCCTTGTGTCCAGACCTGTTCCCCCTCGTAATTCGCAAGTCTCAGTGGACCGCATTCAGCACATATTAGGACGCCGTGCCTGACACGAAGTATATAAAGGTGCACATGATCCACTCCCTGCCTAAGAGGAACCCCAGCCAATGGGGGTGTCGGACACAGAAAAAAGCATTTCGGTGTGATGTAGAAAGTACTGCATGGAGGCTTCATCAGGCGCTGCTATCAGAGGCCAGGGAAGGGCCTGAGTTCAAGAATGGCTTCCACGGGGAGACAGCTTGAGGGCAGTCTCTAAGGTGGTAGACTTGTCCACAAAGAAGAGGGGAGGAAGGAGCCCCTAGGCTGGAGCCTCGCGTCCCAAATGCCGTTGGCTCCCTCTGGCGCCGGCTTGAGAGAGAAGCGAGCCTGGAGGCGGTGATAGCAGATGGAAGGCAGCTGGGTTGAGTCCTGAAGAGCTAGGCTGGGGCAGAGAGGCGCACATGGAGGGGCCCCGCGGGGCCACCAAGTATTTGGGAGGTGGACTCAGCATGACTGCTGGACTCGGCGAGGAGGCGGGACCCAGGATGACTGCCATGCCTGGGTGCTGAGGAGGCAGGACAGCGAGTGACAGCTACCACCTCGAGGAGCTTGGCTGAGAAGGACAGGCAAGGATTAGGGTAATAGGGAGAGTGTCACCTGATGAAGGGAGATTTCTGGGTCACTGCTCTGAGTGACGATGTCTAGAGTGTGCCCGTGGGGGTGGCGGCCAATGTGGGGCACAAAAAGATCATGGATGCTGGGGTGGGGAGAACCGCAGCCTCACCGTGGAGTGGAGACAGACTGCTAGGGACTTTGTGGGACTCTTTGTGGGATGTACCCCACACATCAGTAGATGTCGGCAGCCACCTCTCACTCTTCCTGCCTTCCTCTCCTGTCTGTCCCTCCTTTTCTCCCCTCTGCCTTCCTCCCTGCTTCTCTAGAGTTCACCCTCCTCCCCAGCCCTCAGCCTTCCCCCTGCCCCACCACCCCCCACACACAGATCATTTATAAAAACATTTGTCAAGCACGGCCCACAGCTCCCGATGGCAGTTCTCTCATGGTTCACTTGTTCCTCAGACATAATGTACAAGAGGTCCCGGACCCCAGCTGGAGCCAGCAAATCCTGCCAGCTGACCTGGGCCACAGCTGTTCCTCGTGGTCTCCATCACTGACACGCATTTCCTCACCTGGCTCCAGGGACCAGAGTGTGCAGCTGGATGACACTATAATTCAACCCAATCCACAAGCAGCCACAGGGCTCCTACTG